CTTAACATATTCTGTACCTACAATTAACAATTTTTATACGTGTAAACAAATAACTTCATAATTGCTGACACATAATAACATGTACATAAACTATAGATACAAAATCCTGACTTAATAATTGTTGACACATAATATGATAGTTATAGGTATATAAACTATCAATTGTAGGTATATAATATCTACTATACTAATAAGAGCCCAAAAGAGTTAGGCCTATAATGGGTAGAAAAAATTACGGTCAAATTTTTTAATCAAATGAATGGCTCAGATTGATAAGATTTTAATTTTTCCATGAGATTTCTTAATTTATCCTTAATTATATGATTATCCGTTAACTTTTCCGTTAAATATTATTTTATCTGTTAATTTCTGTTAGTTCACCGTTAACTTACTCATTGATTTCAATAAGAAAGGTATTAGGTTATGAATGGCTCAGATTGATCAGATTTTAATTTTTCCATGAGATTTCTTAATTTATCCTTAATTATATGATTATCCGTTAACTTTTTCGTTAAATATTATTTTATTTGTTAATTTCTGTTAGTTCACCGTTAACTTACTCATTGATTTCAATAAGAAAGGTATTAGGTTCGAACCCCATCCCAATCAAAGTTGACATAATTAGTACTCTATTTTACTCTTATTAAATTAAAATAATAATTTAGTAGCTACAATAAAAATTAATAAATATGCATTTCTTTAATTTAGAATTATGTGTCTACAATTTCTTTATTCAAAAAAAAATTTATTCATTATCAATAAATTAAATAATAAAAATAATTTCATTAGTTATATTGTCTTATTTTTCTCCAATATAAAAATTCTTTACATTCAACAATTGATTATATTCGCTACATTGTCCATACAATGTCTTTATTCAAAAAAAAATATTCATTATCAATAAATTAATTAAGAGAAATAATTTCATTAGTTATATTGTCTTTATTTTTCACCAATATAAAAATTCTTTACATTCAAATTCATCAATTGATTATATTCACTACATTGTCTATTATCTTTTTTTGTGTGCTATTTTTTAATTAAATATCAAAGTTATAATACAAAATAATGATATTTATTTATTTACCAAGTATTTTATTAATACCATGAAAAAAAAAAATAAGTCAATCATATTAACTATTTAAGGGATTTGTTGACAAATAGAGTATTCAAATCACACAACAAATTGAAGTGGGAAACTATCTCGCAATGTCCGTGTTTGGCAATCAGTAGTCCGCGATTAGCGTTAGTAGATTATATTAGCGAATTTAACCAGCGAATTATATAAACGGTTGGCAAAAAAGTATTTCAAAAAATTAGTTGTTTAAATTAAAATGTAAAATGATCTAAGGCGTATACATAATAATAATAATAATAATAATAATAATAATAATAATAATAATAATAATAATAATAATAATAGTTTTAAAAACATAAACATAATAATAATAATAATTTAATAAAAGAAATAAAATTTAAAAAAAAAAAAACATATGGGGAGCCGAACGTTCGACTCTCCTTAGTTTTGCCACTTCTTCCACATCTGTGAGAAAAGTGGCATGGGAGCCTTAAGGCTCCAATTTAAAAATTAAGCTTGCCCATCTGTTGATGGGCAAACAGTGAGCCAACGAAACTGGCTCTTGTTATTTAAGAAGTCGAAATGACTCTACAGTAATTTTTTTTTTTTTTTAATATAGAGGTGTTTTGGGGAAATCATTCTCGAAAACGCTAAATGAAAATATTATAAATTGCAATGTTTGTATTTTCAGTGGTTTGGAACAAATTGTTGCTTCAATTTATTGAATAACCAAACATTTTCTTTAGCATTTTGATCTTTGAGTTACATCATATTTACCAATCGTCCAATATCTTTGGGTTACATTATAATTAAAAAATTTAAATTTTTACTACTTCATCTAAATTCCTTAAATTAAGAATTTGTTTATCTATAATAATTTATTCAACAATAATGGTTGAACTAAATGAACACTGAGTAAAACACCTAAAGGATTGGTATCGTTGATTCATTCATTGATCTTGTATATATGTGTATTCTTTTTTCTTTTTTTTTGAAGGCAACCATAATATGGTTATTTTATAGATATGCAGCAATAGAATTCAGGGGAACAATGTCCCAATACATAGCAGTAGTGAAACCAAAAGCAGTAGAAGCTAAACTATGTGCTAAAAAATTCTGAGATCTAGGTACGAAACTAAACCGAATAAACTGAAAAGACGGTAACAAAAATATATTAGAACTCTTTGCAACAAAAATACTTGATTACTATTTAAAAAAAAATTAGTAACAATTATAATGAATAGCATATATTACATTGTATTCATATGCTATGAGTTACATATTTAAATAAATAAATTCGACATTAAATTACTTATGTATGAACTTTTCATATATAATCTTGCATTGATATACTTTCAAATATTTATTTAATTATAAACATTGGACATTAACACATTCGCGCAAAATGTGCGTGTAAAACTAGTGACAATTACAAATACAGAATCTGAAAGTTATTTTTGGACCAGGATCTACAATGCAAGGTAGACCCTAATCCATGGTTCAAGGATGTAGAAATTATGCAGAGCAAATGGTAAATATAACCATGAATTTTATCTTATTTCTGCATACTTCAATTAGAACAACCACACCAATGTATTTTTCATTGTGTTTTGTAGAGAAAAAACTTTAGGGGCCGTTTACTAACTGGAAATTTCTGGGAATTTCCGGAAACTGGAAAATAGAAAACAGAAAACATGTTTACTAACACAGTTTTCATTTTCAAAACTGAAAATAATTTCTGAAAATTTCCGGAAAACTGAAACACACTTAAAAACTGTTTTCAAAATAGAAAACAGAATCATCTATCATCTATTTAGTTATATGTCACTATAACCACATTACTATAATTACATTCATTATCATCTTATTTTACTTATCACTATCTTCTATCTTTTCTACTTACCTTACTTATTTAAACATAATTTATTTGCTTATACTTTAAAGTTAGACATTATTTACATTATCAAAATTAAGAATTAAACTCTATATAATGTTTTAGATTTTGATTGAACTCAATAAATTAAATTTTAGGTGAAAACTAAAAAAAAATTAGAAAACAGAAAACAGAGAACAGTTTTATGTTAGTAAACAAGTTTTCTAAACAGAAAACAGAGAATTGAAAACAGAGAATGAAAACTGAAAAATTAGAAAATGAAAACAGAAAACAGTTTTCTGTTAGTAAACGGACCCTTAACTTTTCAAGCACAAAACTGATGAGAAGCCAACGGGGCGTTTACTAACTGGGAATTTCTGGAAATTTTCAGAAACTGGAAAATAGAAAACAGAAAACATGTTTACTAACACAGTTTTTATTTTCAAAACTGAAAATAATTTCTGAAAATTTCTGGAAAACTGAAACACACTTAAAAACTGTTTTCGAAGTGGAAAACATAATCATTTATCATCTATTTAGTTATATGTCGTTATAACCACATTAGTATGATTACATTCATTATCATCTTATTTTACTTATCACTATTTTCTATCTTTTCTACTTACTTTACTTATTTAAACATAATTTATTTGCTTACATTTTAAAGTTAGACATTATTTACATTATCAAAATTAAAAATTAAATTCTATATAATGTTTTAGATTTTGATTGAACTCAATAGATTATTAGTTCAAATATTTTTAATTATTTTATATCATAATACAAGTTCGGTCCAGATATCGGATATTGAAATCTCGCATATATTAGAATTCAAAGTAAAAGTTATATATTCATATACATGCCATTCAAATGAATATATCCAAAAAATAAAATATTCTAAATATTAGCTCAAAAAATATTAATATTATCTAAACTAAATTTTAAGTGAAAATTGAAAAATTAAAAAACAGAGAACAATTTTCTGTTAGTATACAAGTTTTCTAAACAAAAAACAGAGAATGAAAACTGAAAAATTAGAAAACAAAAAATAGAGAACAGTTTTCTGTTAGTAAACGGACCCCAAGTTTTTGGAGAAACTTTTCTCCTGCAAATACAAAGATTTTGCAGGAGAAGAAAAAATCGAAATGCAAATCACGCATTTGGGGTGCACTTCGTGCCCCTACGAGCGTGTGTTTCTCACTTACCCGCTGGGGCGCGTCAGAGTGGCTGTCGCCAGCTCACAACCACTTTGACTAAAATAGTTGTTGTTTTTTTTTTTTTTTTTAATTGTCAAATCTCTCTCTCTTCTTTTTTTTTTTTTTTTTTTTTTTTGTTTTTTTTGTTTTACCTTTTCATTTTCTATCTCATTTTTGTCTCTTCTCCTATATGGCCTTCTTAAAATTGTGCAAAAATCCAAGTAGTCTTAAAAGCTTTTTCTTGGCTTGAGTTCAATTACGGTTCTCTTTATTGATTTTGAACTTACAATAGTATGATAAATTTTTAATTAGGGTTTACAACTTAGTTATTTATAGATTATAGATTATAGATTTACCCATCTTTTTCTTTCCTGGGTTCTTCTCATCTCTTTTCCTTTATTTTATTTTTCAAAGAGAAGATGGTTTACTATCTCTAGTGTGAAGTTTTCTAGTTTGGGAATTGGGAATTGGGATTGGTTGAACTGTCAAAATCTCGTTAGCTAGCAGTAAAGATGTCATCACAAATCTGTAAAAAGTTAAAAGCTTTTACAGACACTCCCAGACTGTAATTGCTGTCACTTTCAGAGTCTGTGTAGGCTCACAGCAATCCAAATCAAGGGTCTGGTGAAAACCAGGTAAGTATCAAGTGGGTGTTCTAGTTTTTTTTTTTTTTTTTTTTTGGAAGGAAGGAGAAGGGGACAACTTTATTTGAAATTTCATTCTATTTGAAGGAACTTGAAAATTTAGGTGACACCCACTTTTCATTGATTAATTTTGTGAGCAAGAACTTGATGATTTTATTGTCTGATTACATTGTGTTGAAAGTTTTCATTTTTTTGGAGGTGTGCTGTGAAAACTGTTGTAATCAATGAGGGATTTTGGAGTAGAGTTATTGGTAATTGTAAATTGGATACCCATTTTTATCCGTTTTAAACTTTTTTGTTTTGGGTCTTTCTTGTTTGGATCCATTTGAAGTCTTTTTCACTTCTCAGTTCTCATAACCCTAAGAACCATGAATAGTTTTATCACACCGTCACCGTCAACAATTTCAATGGTCTGTTTTTTCCTTCTTTCTTTTCTTTTGCACTGCTGCTCATTTATTGCGTCTTCCTTTCAGTTCATGGGTTTCAGATATTTATAATGCACTAACTAAATTTAGCTAGCTGCCTTTTGTTCATCAATAGGGTCAGCATTTTACAACTGTGTGATTCTCAAGCTCGGGGGAAAATCACATCACCATCTCCTTGTGTTGGGGTTTCTGATATTTATTCAAAGTTGTTCTCCAGTACACTTGGCTATTTTCGGGCTTTCTTCGTTCTCAGTTCTTACCCTCACTGACGACCTTTTTCATCTGGTACACCTGGTTTCTCCCTATTAAGTCCATCATTTGCCCAAGAATCATAATTCAGATCCTGATTGCAGTTGCTTTTCTTGAAAAATCAATCTCCATGGAGATGGGCCAGATGGTTATCTAGCTTTTCTTGAAAAATCAAGGTGGTAAGCTGATCCCGATTTACTTTGTTGGATTCAGGACTTGATATCGAATTCAGAGAAATCTAGATGACTGCGGATGAATCGAGTAATGCTGTATGGAGCAGAGAGCAAGATAAGGCATTTGAGAATGCCTTGGCAACATACCCTGAGGATTCTTCGGATAGATGGGAGAAAATTGCAGCAGATGTTCCGGGGAAGTCCTTAGAGGAGGTTAAGCTTCACTATGAGATCTTAATCGATGATGTTAGCAGGATCGAGTCTGGTTGTGTACCTGTGCCTTGCTACAACTCTTCTTCTGACAACTCCGCAAGCCATGATGGTGATGAAGGAACTAGCAAGAAAGGTGGAAATTCTGGGAACACGAATAGTGATTCAAATCATGGAAAGTCTATGAGGGCAGATCAGGAGCGTCGCAAAGGGATTCCTTGGACAGAGGAAGAGCACAGGTGAGTTCTCATTCTTCTGTAGTTATTGACGTGATTAGCCTTTATAAAAGTACTTCTCTCATATATTTTAATATGCTAGCATTAATAGTAAAATGTGCCAATGTTTCTGTAATTATTAATTCTCTAGGGGACAAATTTTGCGATTCATGTTCTGGTTTGTTAGACTACCATTTCCAGAAGCTACTCTTGATGGTACCGTGTTCTCCACGGTTGAGAATGTTAAGAGTTTCTCTTGCATGATATATATCTCAAACTTTAGGGCTAGGGTATTGCCAGATAGCAGTAGAAGGCACTGTCTGAAGTGAACAATTACTGGTAAATCTGAAATTCATTTAGCAAAGGGAAATTGATCTAGTTGTACCAGTTGCTCTAGTGTGAACATGGTTTCCATTTAATGGTGAATATCTAGGGTTGATATTTCTTTCACCAATACAAATTCTCTTTCTTTTGACATTCTGCTTGTGTTTCTTTTCTTTGTATCTTTATTTGCTTTGAAGTTGCGTTTCCTATTCATCGAAGCAAAGATACACCTACGAATGTTTCAAGTGGGATTGAATTATAATAAGCTTTCCTGATGAACCTTCTTTTATATTTGGCTTGAAATCTTGTTGACCTAAATTTGGCTTGAACTTGACTTAAGCTCAACTAAAATCAAATTCTAGTCTTAGTGGTTCATCTCTGGATTACTAGATAGCTCTCCTCTTTCTGTAATTTGCACTACTCTTGCATGCTTCCAGAACATTAGGTGTGTTTTGATAGAAAGTTAGAAGAAAGGATATGGGAATATGGGATGGAAAATAGCAAGGAAAGGTAAAAGGGGAAGAAAATTTTGTATTTGGATGAGAGAAAAGGGAGAGAGAGTGAGAAATAGATTTGATTCATATATTGAGAGTGATAAACGAACCGAGTTCAATGTATTTTTTTTGGTTGCCCAAGGGTATCCCTCCAGCCGATAGCTAGAGGACTAATCCCGCGTCCCTACTGTCAGCACACTAAGTGGTAGGGGACTGGCCAAATGATTTGTTCCATTCACATGGGCGGGGATCGAACCCCCAAGTTCAATGTATTAGTAGCCCCTCCTTTTCATCCCATTTTGGAGGTGGTAATATTTGATTGGATAGAGTGCTTATTTTCTTTCCCTCCATTCTCTTTTCCATCCAAATAATTTTTTGTCCCATTTTCTTTCTTTGCATTTTCCATCCATCCAAAAGCACTATTATTTATTTCCCATAGGTGATTCATCAAACAGTGTTTAACCTATTTAAATTGCCTAAACTTTTGTGGCTTTTCTCAATTATCAAAGTATTTGGTCCTTTTTGTTTTTGTTTTTATTTCTTTTTCTTTAAGTTAGGTATTCCAAGCTTTCGTTTTTGTCATTTTCTTCTTTTCTTTCCCTATTTTATAGCATATTAGGATCTCCATTTTGGTCATTCTAGGATCTCCATTTTGGTCATTCCTTCGATTCTCTCAAATATCATTCCTAGCTTGTTAGTTTTTTGGTTTTAAAAAGACCAATGCAAGCTCAAGTCAAGTTTTTAAAAATGATTTGCTTTGTGAGGGGGAGAGAAATGCTAAAGTTTTTGGCCAGACACAGGTTTCTACTAATTATACTTCGGACCTCAAATAATTCCATGTGTCCATCCTAACGATATGCATTATTTGTTTTGTGTTGAAGTGATGTCTTGATGCACCAAAACTGCAAAACAACCTAAAGCTACAAAGTTTAATAATGGGAAGGTGCATATACAAAAAGAAAAGTGGGTACATATAACCTGCCAGTTCTTCTAAATGTCAAATGTTGTCCCTCATATTAAATATCTGCTACCTTAAGCATAAGATTCTGGGAATATACTCTTCCCTGTAGTATATATATATATCTGAACTAACTGTCCTTGAAACTTTGCATTGTGTGCTCCAGCCAAAGAGTGAATTTCCAGAAAGTATCCTCTTGTGTGTTCCTCCTTAACCTAGCATAATTTACTTATGTGGCAAAAGGTTTATTTATTCTACTATTCTGGATAAATTTATTAGTGTTTACTATTTTTAGCACTTGTGACTAACCATATGGTAGAAGTTGAAGAACAAGAGTACGGTTTCGTGAGCAAACGAAAGAAAGTATTGTTAGACAGCTAAATTGGTTTCATAGACCTCAACATCCCGGTCACTTAACTGGGCTATAATGCTCATGGGCCAAACCGCACTAAAAGACTGAATCCAATCTATTAGCTAGTCTAACCCATGACCTTATAAACCATATATTCTCTCTTATATTTTCAATGTGGGACTCTTAACAGATGTCAATGGATTTATGGACTAGCGCGGCAAAAGCTTAAATTGTATGAATGGTCATATGGGCAATGGGACATTGAATACCTTTATGTAGACGAGATCTAAAACCATTCTGTGATGTTTGGCATTGCAAATGGTGGGGTGGGGATTGATGAGTTGGTGTTCTTTGTTGAGTGATCACACCTTAGGTGTTTTTTGGGGCTTCTTTTTCTGTGACTACCTTTCTTCCATTTAAATTATATGATGCTTCTCCAGCTTGTGGAGAAGCATGGATAATGCTTTTTTCTGGTCTATCTTTTGAGGTTACTGCAGGTTGGAACACACAAAAATGTTGCAAACAAAAAATAGGAGAACTAGCTCATCTATGTAAGATACGGTGCTGTTCTCAGTCTTATAAATATCCAGTCCTTCAATTTAGGACTGAGGGTAGGGCTGTTAACGGACCGAACACGAATGAACAGAGGTTGTTCATGTTTGTTTGTTAAGATTTTTAGAGTTTTCATGTTTGTTTGTTAAGGTTTTTGAAATCTTGTTTGTATTCATTTGTTAAGCGTTCGTTAGTGTTGGTTAATGTTCGTGAACGTGTTCATTAATGTTCACGAACGCTAAACAAGCAAACACATGTTCATGATTAACCTGGTGGGTGTGGTTGAGTGGAAGGGACTCATCCATCCTTAACCAAATGTGTCAAGGATTCGATCCTTGACTTTGGGTATGGAGCAACCTTAAATCTCCAGGCAGGGTACACCCAAAAAAGAACATGTTCATGATTATAATTTGTTCTTGAACAAGAAATAGTCTATGTTCACGAATCTTAAACGAACACTAAACGAGCATGTGCGTGAGCATTTAAGCAAACACTAAACGAGCATGTTAATGAACATTATTAAGCGAACACTGGCAAACGTGTTCACGGGCTCTTAGCAAACGATTATACAAATGTTCAGACTCTGTTTGTTTATTAAACGAGCTCTAAAATTTGTTCATTTATGTTCATTTACCTTAATAAACGAACGCTTATCGAGCACGAACACGAGTAGTTTACCGAGAGCTCTGTTCGCTAACACCTCTAACTAAGGGTGTCTAAATTCAAGAGAGAGGGAATAAGAAACTATCTGCTAGATAAATATTGAATTATGCAGTTGCAGGAAAAACCATTTAATGTGTACATGCAAAAGATAATTTGAACAATTTGGGTTCTGGGCAAAATGCATTATAGTGTATCTTCTGCATACTTATCAAGAGTGTCTTGACTTGCATATTTCATCTTTTTCCTGAGCTAAAGAATGCATATTTGGGAACATCTTCCTTAAAAAACATGACATACCTTTAAATTCTGAGTAATGAATATATAAATCCTACTGATAATTCTTATTTCTACTGTTCTTATGAGTTTCCAGTAGTTGCATAGCATACTTTAATACTGCTCAAGATTTCTAGTTGCATAGCAAAAAAATTTCTCCTTATTTATGTTATTAAGACTGCTCACATCCCCACTTAATCCAACTGGCTGTATTCTATGATGCACATTATCATCTTTCATTCCTTGTGAATATTAGAACAGGTTATGTAGTTATAATTAGGGTAAAAACATTGGGACTGTTGATGTAATATTTGATTTATTTGTTTTTCAAACTGGAGAAAAGATTATTGATCCAAATACTTATTATCTTGATTAAAATCAACCTTTTCTTTCTCAAAACTGGTGGATACTATTCATTTGTATGTCATACTTATTTGCTTGATTTGTTAAGAGTCCGACATCTATAAAATAAGAGAGAACATATGGGTTTATAAGGCCATGGGTTAGACTAGCTAATTGGTTGGATTCAATCTTTTAGTGTGGTTTGGTCCATGACTCCATGTGCATTATAGCCCAGTTGAGTGACTATGGCCCAATCTTAAATTATAACATGGTATCAGAGCCTGTTCGGCCCACTTTGGGTTCACCCGGTTATGGGTATTGGTCCAGAGCTCATGGCCATAACAATTTTCATTGCTTTTGTGGATGTAACATCTGCCTGCTATGAGTGACGAAGTTTCTTGTTTAAAAAACAAGTAAAAGTACTAACTAAGCACACGTGAACTGGTTTTGAAACAGGTTCTTCCTTCTTGGTTTGGAGAAATATGGGAAAGGTGATTGGAGAAGTATTTCTAGGAACTTTGTTGTGACGAGAACGCCTACACAAGTTGCAAGCCATGCACAGAAATACTTCATCCGTTTAAACTCTATGAACAAGGATAGGAGGCGATCAAGCATCCATGACATCACCAATGTTAACAGCGGAGATGTTTCGGTGGGCCAAGGACCGATTACTGGACAAACTAATGGAACTGCAGCAGCAGCAGCAGCAGGAGGTTCTTCTGGAAAGTCGAACAAGCCACAGGCTCCGGCTCTGGCTCCTGGAGTTGCCATGTATGGGGGGGCCACAACTATTGGACAGCCAGTAGGGGTACCCCTTGTTCCTGCAGTCGGTACACCTATGAATCTCCCTCCGCAGGCTCACATGGCATACGGGACACCTTCCATTCCCGGAGCAGTGGTTCCTGGCGCTCCGGTGAACATGGCTCCAATGCCTCATACATCTGCTCATAGGTAAACTGTTTTTCCCGTCCAACAATGCACAAACATAACATTTCGGGGGCAATATCCTGCTATTTTCAACATGAGCTAGCCGTTATGATGATGTCACTTAAAGACCGAGCCTTTGATCAAACTGTGGTCGTCGCCTTCCTTCCATTTTATGTGTATGAAAATCGAAATAAATTGGTAAGAAAGATTGATTGATTGGTTGAATGCATGTGTATAGGCAGCTAGTGATATGGGAGCACTTAGTTTAGGAGAGAGCAGGGCGGATTTGGTAGTAGTTGTTTCTATTCTAGTGGTTTAAGAGCAGAGCTATTCTCTCTTCAAAGTTAAGTTGTACAGCAAGCAAGCAAGCAACAACTTCCTCATCTCTCCTGTTAAGTGTATAGCATATCCAAGCACCTATTTTCTGGACTTGGGGACTTTCTTTGTCTGCTCACTTTACATTCTCATATCATCAATTTCTTTTCTTTTCTTCACACACACACACACACACATATATATATAGAGGCTATGGATCATGTGAGAACACTTCCATAGGAGAGAATTAAGAATCAATTTCAACTTTACATTTGTAAAAATTTGATGGATATGATCAGATTTTTTTTAAAAAAAAGACTTGACAGTTTCATAATTATCATTAACTCCACTGTGCAAATTTTAACACTTAAATATGCAATCTTTAATTAACGTATCATCAATTGAAAAGAATTAGTGCTGAGACTTTTTCTCCCCTGCGATCCCAAGAAGATAAGACTTGCTTGCAAGGAGTACGAGGAAGACGAAAACTTCTCGGGAGTTAATAGAGGTGTTAAGAGTCCCACATTGAAAAAGTAAAAGAGAATATATGGTTTATAAGGTTATGGGGTAGACAAGCTAATTGATTGGATTCAATCTTTTAGTGTGGTTTGGTCCTAGGCCAATTGAGTGCCCCTAGTAAGTTATGTGTATTATAGCCCAATATCAGTCCTGAAGGCAAAGGAGGCTCGGGAAGTCATGGAGTCGTGTATTATAGCCCAATATCAGTCCTGAAGGCAAAGGAGGGCTCGGGAAGTCATGGTCCAACTGTTATGCTAGGCTCGGGAAGTCATGGTCCAACTGTTATGCTATTGACCCGTGTCCAGCATCTGGACGCAGGTAAGTCATGGTCCAATCGTTATGCTATGGACCCGTGTCCAGCATCTGGACGCCGGTAACTGCAACGAATAAACAAAATCAATTTTTTTAAAAAAAAAAAAAAAACTGAAATGCCGCGTTTTCCTTGAAAACAACGTCGTTTTGGACACGTGTCCACAATGCATTGTGGACACGAGTCCACAGCATAATTTGCGGCCATGGTCTTGAAGAACAAGAATGTGTATTATAGCCCAATACCAGTCTTGGATCCGGAGAATGAAAATTCTTCCGGGCATTGCACTTGGAATTGAACAAGAATGTGTATTATATCCCAATATCAGTCAGCAATAAAAAGTAAAAAAAAAAAAACAAGTAAATGAAACTAAACAATGGAGTGCGGCAAGAAGAGAGCTGCTATGTTGGTCACTATCGTGACAGCTCTTAGATGTTTTGCCACTTTGCTGTCACGATCGTGGCTGGGTCGTGGCCAAAGACCTGGCACGTTCACGGTTAGAAATGTCTGTTGAGAAGTCTGAATTCGTTTTTGTGGTTTTCATGAAAGTTGTTGCCCTTTGAATTTTCATTTCAATGCCACTGGAATCGCCTCATTTAGACATCCCTAACTTGAGATATGCTCAAAATACCAAATTGTCGTCGAAATGCTCTGAAAATGATAATGTTTTGCTATATTCTATACATGCAACCACAATTAGACCTTGTTCCTATCTTTAATCAAAATAAACTATTCTAAGCATGTAATACGCTCAAAAGACTCCAATTATATCACAATATGACTCACGAGTACCCCACAAAAGTATCACATTTTGACATTTATGAGGAAACAATCTGTGATTATAAAGGTTCTAGGCAAGAAAGTGGGGTACAACTACCTCCTAAACAGAATCAAAGGCATGTGGAGACCCAAGGCGAGAATGGAGGTTGTAGCTCTTGAAAATGACTACTTCATTGTCAAATTTGGGTCGGCGGGCGGCTAAATTCGGATTATTACCTCATAGTTAATGAATTGTCGCCCAATTTCGACCCTATGAACGAAATGACAGAGAAGATTTTAGTCTGGGTCAGGTTTCCCTCATTACCAATAGAGTACGGTTTTCTGGAGAAAAATGGTGATAAGGTAGGAAGGACGATCAGACTTGATGACGCGGCCAGCCTGGTTTGGTAGATTGTGCGTGGAAAAGCTCTATTATCCAAATTTGGAACAAAATTTGGCTAATTGAATACGATGGGCTCTACTTGGTGTGCTTCAAAATGTGGAAAATATGGACACAGAGAAGAAGCATGTCCGATGAACACAACAGAGAAGCAACACGTGAGGTCAGCGTCGGAGCTAAAAGAGTCGTTTGGCAGCAAAAAACCATAGTTATGTTTGCGTTGGTTAAGGTTAAAGACAAAAAAGGATAAACTGTTGTCACGGGCTTGTGTTCGAACTTCGAACAAATTGTTGCTGATAGCTGGAAGGACGAAGAAGACTTGCAGAGTAACCTGAGGAGTTCAGCTTCAGCTCTGGTTACGTGGAGTAAAGATGAGTTAGGCTCAACTAAAAAGGAAAAGGATTGTAGCACGTCTCAAAGGAATTAAGAGAGGTCTTCTGAGTAAGAGAAGCAGAGGCCTCATAAAATAGGAGGCTAACCTCAACAAGGAATTTTATGAGGAAGAACTTTACTAGTTTCAAAGGTCAAGGGAGCAATGGATTTCGTCGAGCTATAGGAACACAAGATTCTACCACATCGCGACTAAAATCAAAAAAGGAAAAATGACAGAAATGTATCGGAGGGAGTATGCATTTCCCAAAATGTGCGTCCCCTTTTTTTTTTTTTTTTTTTTTACAAAAATGTGTAAAACACATTTTCCACTTGCGTTTTATATATTATTTCTGGTCAAACTTAAAACGCAAGTCCACTTGTGTTTGGAATTTTTGCGTTTCTCGAGAAACACAAGACTTGCATTTTAAGTTTGACCAAAAATATATAAAACGCAAGTGGAAAAAATATGTTTTACACATTTTTGTTAAAAAAAAAAAAGGGGACGCACACTTTGAGAAATGCATGCTCCCGCCTACACATTTTTCCAAATCAAAAGGGCTCGGAACAATTGCACAAGCCTAATTTCTAAAGAGGGTGAAAGAAGCTCGGATGAAAAAAAATCTAAAAACTTAGGTTAGGGACTATTATGTTACGCTATTCACTGAAGCACGAGTTGCAAGGCAGCTGCCCTAGAAATTTTTTTCCAGACCAACATATGAAGAGTGGGCTAGTATCTACAAGGATTGTACTGAAGAGGAAGTGAAGCAGGCCCTTTTTGATATGGAACCTTATAAAGCACCGGGTCCGGATGGTTTCCACGTAGGGTTCTACCAAAAAACTTGGAAAATTGTGGGAAGACAACTCACCAAGCAAACTAAAGACTTTCTAAAGGATGGGAACATGGCGGAGGGATTGAATGATACTCTGGTTGCTCTCATTCCCAAGATTAAAAACTCAGATACTGTTGATTAGTTTAGCCCCATTTGGCTCTGCAACGTATCTTACAAGGTGATTACTAAGGTCTCTGGCAGGCAAATCATCATCGATAATATTATTTCCTATGAAGAAATCATCCGATCCACACAATGAGGAAGAAAACAGGAAGGAGAACTCATATGGCAATCAAGATAGATCGCGAAAAAAACTTATGACAGAATTTCTTAGGGTGGAAATGGCTCTCAACAAATATTCGGGGCAAAGTGAATTCCAGAACTAATAGAGACTAGGCCGCAGTTGCGATCTGGTGGATGTGGAAATGGCGCAATGAAACTGGTTTTGGAGGGGAAGAATGGGGTCTGCACCACAAAGTTGAATGGATCAGACAACAAGAAATGGAAATTAGGGGAGGCTCGCATGGAAATTTTGTGAAGTCTTCACTCTTCAATGCCAGGAGGCTCAGCTCGCATGGAAATTATGTTGACAAACAACTTAAATGGAGAGTGATAACGGATTCTGAGGATTTCATTTTCTTCCATTAGCTTCTCCAACATAGGGGAGGGGAACTACATTGTGGGTAACATCAACAAAGGGAATGCTGTTGATACAGCTTCGTTAATACTACCATCAATAGAAAACTTATAGCAAAATATAATTCTTCTTCCATTTCTTGCTCTCAACACTTAACCTTGCACGGAATTTCAAAGGATACAGCCAGCTCATACCTAAATCAAGAAAATACGTATATTCATTTATCCTTAAGGGGCATTTGGTTCAAGTAATATAACATGAGTGTGGTAATGTCTAGGTAATACATATATTCATTTATCCCTTAAAAAGTTATCCTTCTATTTTAACGAATACTGGCATACTCCAGTACTAAGGATAGCAAAAGAGAATACCGCATTTATGAAGGGTCAAGAATGGAACTAATTGTTACTAATCAAGCGCAACCAATACAGTAATGTAAATCCCATGTGTTTTATCAAACATAACAATTTTTGTGGGATATAGGAAGTTCAACTGTTCAAGAGCTGCTTCTAATGAAATAAATTTCTGAACCTTTCTACATACCTTCTTCCATCCCACTATCTAGACTTCTTGTTTATTGTTTCTTCAATGCATTCATTCTATCCCTGAGATAATACAGCTTGGCCCTCCTCACCTTCTTCTTGTCCACCACCTTCACCTCCTTTATATTGGGAGAGTATCTAAAATGATTGTATTTTCAAAAAAAAATAAAAAAATGATTGCAAATCAATATATAACAAGGCTTGAGCCACAAACTCACAAAGCACATTACTTTAAAACACTAAACATAATATTCATCAGTCATCACTAACAGTTCTCCACTAAAAATTAATACCTATAATACAAAAATGGATTAGAGTGATACTTGCCAAGTTGTGTTTTTTGGGTAACTATATAGACCTATATTTAGACACCATGTTGCCTTTAGCTAACCACCATTTAGTATAAAAAATATAAAACTAACAATAAAGCAGATTTGAGACCATTATAATATGTAGGATATGAAACTAATTTTAAGATACATTTAATTTGTAGCCAGTTAGAGGCCATGTAACATGCCAAAATACCAAACAGCAGTTTACCCCAAATGGCCAAGTTAATGAGTGCAGCAATAACTTGTTTAAATGAACAAGTCCAAACATGTATAATGATGGAAACCCCAATTCAATCTTGTTTCATATCAGCAGATAAAGAACAAATCGAAATGCTAGCTTAATATTATACTATGAAATACAACACCCAATCAAGAATCATTTCTGTAGTCTGTACATTCTTTTAAAAAGAAAAAACGAAAATGAAAGAAAAGAAAAGAATTAAAGTTCTTAACACAGACTTACAGATGGAAGAGGGATTCAACACCAACCCCTGCAACAAGTCTTCTTAATCTGAATGTAGTATTCAAACCAGCATTTCGTCTTGCTATTACTATTCCTTTGATTATTGAAACACGTCTCTTATTTTCTGGTATTTCCTGGTATAAAAGCATTAGTGTATCAAAGTTATTTGTTGTTTATTGTAACCATTTAAAACAAACGATAAAAGATGATGTTCATAATAATATATTAGAACATAAGAAAAAACAAGAAAACTTTCTTAAAAGAAGCAATACATACCACTTTGAGCTGTAAAATATAACCAGGCCTTATATCAGGTATCTCTTTCTGTGTCCTCACTTCTTCAACTGCTTCCTTATCGAGAATCTGCAATTTCAAGGGTCAAAATACACAGTCCAGAGACACACCACGGATTCATATTATCTAATAGGTTGAGAAAGATAAAAGAACCAAAAACTAATTACAGTAAAAAATGCACATTGCATGATGAGGTAAAATCTTCGCTACCTGCATTATGTGCTTTGCTGTCTTATCAAGCCTCTTAAACTTGATACGTGGAGTCACCAGAGAGTCAGAAGTTGAAGCATCTTGAGAAACAGTATCCAAAGGGGTTCCTATAGTTGCAATGAATCTTCTAGGAAACATAGGCCCCATCGTTGATAGTTTTGAAAAACTGGATCTAGGATCAATATAACACGATGAAACAGAAGCAACGCCATTTTTCTTAGAGTCTACAGGAAGCCCTTCTCTGGTTCCAATGTTATGCTGAAAAGCATCCAGTTTTGATAAAGGAATTATCACCCAGAAAATTATCAAATATCAGTATATCACATATTAAAACATACACAGTGATGAACAAGCATGACTATCTAGAAACAAAGGTTTCATTTTATTAGCATATGAAAACTGTGGACATAATTTCTCTCTTGCAACTATACAGGTCTGCTCCATAATTCACTTGTAGCAATGACATTAAATAAGCCATTCTAATCCAAATTGAAGATTTGAAGCTCTAGTGAATAAGGTAAGAAGAAGCAAGGCAGTACATTAAGAATGAAAACAATAATAAGGGATTTTGAAGGGAGTCAGATTTAAATTACTATAGACTATGGAAGACAACGGGAGCAGTACCTTGGCAAATAAAGCATTATGTGGTAATATAAGAAGATAAATAATTTCAAAAAACAAAAAACTTATAGGTAAAATAACTGAATTAGCATGAAATCCTAGAAAACTATTTAATGAAACATAATTATAATCTTGCACAGGAATAAAAATATTTCTAAAAGCACAAATGTAACAGAAGGAAGATGTTGAAATATAGAAAGTAGAAACCCTAATGTAAAGCTAGTTGCAACTTAGCCCATTATGTTCCTATATAAGCATGTTTATCTTTCTCAAAGTGTAGGGAAATTATAATATTGTCAATTATCAATACAATTATTGTACTTTCTTCCTTTGGTTCCTTGCATATATTGCTTTCATGGCAGGTGGTGGCTGTTTACCACCTGCCAAACCTTTCAATCTCTCAATTTCAACAAAAGACAATGGAGCACCATGCACTTTATAGAAGAAAATAAATCTTGATGTTACTATACAGCTCAGCAGCCAAGAGATATCAGTATATCACTCCTTTTAGCATCTTCACATTTTCCTTTTAGTATTAGAAAGATACAAGAAACACTACAAAGTAAGACTTAATTGAAGTTATAAATAATAATGTGTACATGTTTGGTAAAGAAAGTGGCAATCTAAAACAACTATAATTCCAAAGTGGTGGACCAGACAAAACCTAGAACTACTTATAATAGAATACTCAAACAACTTATTCAGGTTTAAATTTTTTTAATAAAAGATTGCATTACTTTGCCAACTAGACAAAGAAAATTTTGCAAAAAATCATGTAAGGTCTTATAAAGATAACTCCCCTAGCAGAATTGCTACAATGTTATACATGCCCCCATAGTCACACTGAAACAAACATTCGTGGGGAATGCAGTGATTCAACATTAAGGAATATTCAACATAGATGTGAGGTGTCACATATAGTTCCAATGGCCTGTGGATTGCAAATGCCACTTGTACACCCGAATCAAAATGATTAGCTGCTAGCTTGGAGGTTGGAGCAGGCCATAGGAAGGAGTGAGTGGAAAGAATTCAGGATCTCAGAGTAAATTCAGAACAGATTTGAATTAGGCCAGAAACAACTACCAGACTCAGGCACTCAGCAGATTTGGAAAAAGACTAAGAAATGCAGAAAGCCTACAAATTTAGCAATATATATTAAGAAAAACACCATAACTTAATATTGCAAGGGAATGGTCAGTTTACAGCAATAAGACTCAACATTAAGCTACAAACTCAAATGTACAGCACTGGTAATGCAAAGTTAGAAATATTCTTAAAGCATTTCTTTCCACCTACTGAAAACTTTATTGTGGCACATGTTTATAGAGCACCCAAAAAAAAAAAACACCAAGACTTATTCCTAGGCACAGTAAATGCCATGTGCTAAGTAAATGAAAAGTTGCAGCTCATCAATAGCTTCAAATAGTAGATTTTGGAAGACAGGTTTCTATTGGATTGTCCTCAAGTACATTGAGCCAAGTTAATCTTGGTATCTAGCTAAGAAAAGAGAAACCCTGCAAATAACAAACCACAAATTACTGAAAACCTCATGAAATATTTACTATGTTCCTAGGAAGTCCATAATCTTCATGATTTTTTTTTCAGGTTCTTCAGCTAAAGCTGCTTTTAAATATTCTCATTTCTGAATTACATCACTAGTCAGGGAGCATTCACTCGGAGGTGGCACTGGAGAATGAACTGGGGGATAGCCAAAAAAGAAAGGGCCTTGGAGGTTGATAAATTCTCCATATGCAATAGGGAGAATAAAGAACATGAAAGGTGGTATGTTGTGTGGTTTTGTTGCTTCTTTACTTCAGTTTTGACAGTTTGCGTATTCCCTCCTCCATGGATATAACCATCTCCATGGTTTTTAATATGAAGAGCAACAAAAGTATCAAACAATGGAGGTGTCCTAGCTATCATATCCATTATGCGATAGGTCATAGCAAACATGAAAATTAAATTGACAACCCCAATAAGCATTTTGCTCTTGCGTCATTCACATGAATGCACCAGGCAAGCCAATAACTGCAGCAAATTTCTAGACAGAATATGAATCCTAGAAGCTATCTCAACTTGACTAAACTTAACAAGTCAAATCCCAATATTTCCACGTTAGCACAAAAAGATGCATACTATGATAAATTGAGAACCGCCTGCACCAATCCCCAAAACACAGCACTAGTTTAATTTCAACCTTATCTGTGCATATATCACCCGAATTTAAAATAATTAAGAATCCATATCAAATTGTAACAATACAATGAATATCGTGAAATGAACCTTCTAACGATATTACTGAATTAAAAACAAAATGCACATACGAGGATTCTCAATCAGCAAAAAGAAAAGAAGAAATACTTTATACGGTTATAGATACTTACACCAAGTGCACGCCACTTCCCCGAATCAACATTTCCTGCTAAACAGAAATTGAAACAAAAATAAAATAAAATAAAATATTGTATATTTGACGCAATCCATTTAAAATTAGATTGAGATAATGGAGGGATGAGTTAGGAACCAGAGGCAGTAGACGGATGGGTAGTGGTGGATGCCGCTGCGATATGGTTGGGTTTGACGGCGGAGGAGGGAGGCGGGTATAGCGTTCGGAGCTGCGTCGAAAATCTTCTCCACATCTCTCTCTCTCTCTCTCTCTTGGCTCGACCGAAGCTGCGGCTCAAGGGTAGTGTATTCGGAGAATGGGTTTAACACTTCAACTCTAAAAACTATGCTATGCCAACATTTTGTCACCCTAAAGTTTAGGGGATTAACACTTTAGCACATGCTAATGAGCAATACCTAGATGACTAATGGGGGTATTTAGTAGGACTCGGGTGGAATTGTAATTTTATTCTTACTAAATTTTTTATGGAATTTCTATTTCATTTTTTTGTTTGGAGGTTTGTAGAATGCAAATGTAATTTTATTCGTACAAATTTCAATGAAATTTCTATTCCATTATTTGTTTGGAAGGAATTGCAATTTCTAGGATCCCGAAATTACAAGTCCGAAATTAGAATTTCACAGTAAATTGTAATTTTATATTATTATTATTATTATTATTATTATTATTATTATTATTATTATTATTATTATTAGTATGCAAGGATATTTTAATATTTATTCACTTTTTTCTTTCAATTACCAACAATTTTATTCTTGTATATTAAACAATGAAATTTGAATTATCACCTTGTTTTTTTTTTTTTAAATTACAATTCTTTTCTCTCTTAATTTTATCATTCCAATCAAATTTATGAAATAACAATTCTTTTTCCTCCTAATTTCATCATTCCAATCAAATTCGTTGTAAATGGTGTTTCTATTCGCAATGCCATTTGGATGAATGGAGATGGACCATACCGATGAGTGATAAATTACTAATTTTTAATTGATTTTGTAAATAATTTAAATTAATTTAATTTTATTGCAAAGTGCTATTACTTTTTTTTTAATGCTACTGATTCTATTATATTGTAGTATTTGTTCAAACATACTTTCTCAACTTAATGAAATACAAAGAGTCAACACACACCTTCACTGAGGTGCTATTACTTTTTTAATCTCTTTACTCTTGTGTTTCTAATTATTAAGTGAAAGGAACTATTCCTAATTTTAAAATTAAGAGTGCAAGTATTAATTTTTTTTTTGTCCGAACACGAGGTGTTCTTGAGATTTTAAAATTAAGATTGCAAGTATTGATTTTTCTTTTTGTCAAACCGCATGTATACTAATCCCCGTTCGCATCTGACCGGCCCAATTAAGGAGCAAAGTGCTGGCTAAATTAGTTTTTTAATATGAGAGGGAGTTCAAACTCCCGACCACTCACGCAATCACGCCAACCAAGCTGGTTAAGAGTGCAAGTATTAAGAGAAAAAGAACAAAGGTTATATAAAACCCTTACAATATCATCAAAGGGTTGTTGAGTTTTTTCCTTCTCTGTGGATGTAAGGTTAGGGAACGAAAAGACAAAGACAAAGGTTCTGTATCGTGTCTAATACACTGCCTTAAAAACATTCACGACCAGAGATTGAGTCGTATGCTTTCGACCGGCAAAACAGAACGGACTCTCAGGCAGTTATATATAAAGGTGGTGTTTCGCTGTGTTGTTCGAACTGGAAGCAGCTATATATATATATATGTATATATATATATATATATATATATATATATATATATATATATATATATATATATATATATATATATATATATATATATATTCGAAGTAATATATATATGTATGCGAAGCAATATATATATATATTTGAAGTAATATATATGTACGCAAAACAGATATATATATGAAACAGATATACGGAATGATATATGCAAGCAGTATAGTTTGAACAGACCTCTCACCAGTGCCTTTAACAACATAAAACCATCATTAGTACTCCATGTGCAATAGCCAACCATCCACTATCCATAAAAGTAGGACTACAAATCAGTGAAGACCATCCCTGTACGCACATTCACTATGTTGTGCGGACAAGGTCACTAATGGATCCACAAAATAGGGTAAGAAAAAGAGTTTGAGAGCAAAACGTTGACCACACCGCGTGACGAGCCAGGACGGGCGGGCGACGGCGGCGGCGCGCGCGTGGTCTACCTCTTTTCCCTTCTCATAACACTTCAAACCATCTCAAAGGACTTGAAGTATATAAGGAAGGAAAAGAGAGGTTAAACTATCAATGTGGGACAACTTGGTTAAGCTAAAATAAGCCTTTCCCTTTAAATGCTCTCAACAATCCCCCACCATGAAAAGGGATTAGGCTGGTATTGACATTGCCTGAATACGACCAAAGCAAATTTTCATGCCAGTGTATAAAACTTGAACTGTCATATAGTGACATTAAGTACTTCTCTAAGCGGGAGTGAATTAGATCTTGAACTCACCGGATAGACAAAGTTTGAACTTGAATGCACTTAATTTGTTCTAATCACCATAATTGGTCATACTCTTGACCCTAAAATATCCCCTGTTAGATCTATTCTAAGATAGACCTGCAACTCTGTCAAGTCAACCTCAACGCAGACCACCAAGATTGGCTACAGAGTATCTATGGGTCCCAAACCCATTTCCCTTGATGTATCAAGGACGGCCTTTCTGTTTAGGCCCTTTGTGAAAGGATCTGCAATATTCCTTTCAGATCTCACAAAAACCATTGTGATTACCCCAATTATTATTAACTGCCGTACAGACTCATTTCTGACTCTTATGTGTCTACGTTTCCCATTGTAGACACTGTTTTGCGCAACACAAATAGCAGTCTGGGAATCACAATGTATGGGAACAGCAGGTGCTGGGCACCCCCACAATGGCACGTCTGCCAATAGATTTCTCAGCCATTCGGCTTCCTGACTTGCTAGATCTAGTGCTATAAACTCTGATTCCATAGTTGATCTGGCTATACAGGATTGTTTGGTCGATTTCCATGAAATCACGGCTCCACACATAGTGAACACGTATCCACTAGTTGGGCTTACATCATCAGCGTCGTTTACCCAGTTTGCATCACAGAACCCCTCGAGCACAGCTGGGTCTCCCTTATAGTTAAGGCCCCAGTCTATTGTGCCTCTTAGATACCGAAGTACCCTTCTCAGTGCATCCCAATGTGAGATACCAGGGTTGTGAGTATACCGACTGAGTTTATTCACAGCAAATGCAAGATCTGGTCTAGTATAGTTCATCAAGAACATTAGACTCCCAATTATCTTTGCATATTCTTCTTGAGACACACTGGCCTCTATGTTCTTTGATAATTTGACGCTGGGATCATAGGGGGTTTTAGCTGGAGTTACTTCATAACTCTCAAACCTCTTCAGGAGTTTCTCCGTGTAATGACTTTGGGATAAAAGGTAACCTCTCTCAGTTTTTGTAACCTTTATCCCGAGTATTACATCAGCCTCCCCTAGATCCTTCATATCAAATTTGTCACATAGAGTTCTTTTAGTCTCTTTTATAGCTCCTATACTTGAGCTAAAGATAAGCATGTCATCTACATAGAGACAGATGATTACGATGCTAGACTCTACCTCTTTTGTGTATAAGCAGGCATCTGAGCGGTTAGTGGTATAACCTAGCTCCAACAAAATTTTGTGAAACTTTTCATACCACTGCTTAGGGGCTTGTTTCAAGCCATAAAGAGATCTTTTAAGTCTGCATACCTTCCCTTCTTGGCCTGGATCAACACATCCGGGGGGTTGTTCCATATAGATCTCCTCTTCTAGTTCACCATTTAGAAAGGCTGTTTTTACATCCATCTGATGTACTATCAACCTGTGTAAAGATGCTAAAGCAAATAGAACACGTATAGTAGCTATCTTTGTTACTGGTGAATAGGTATAGAAGTAATCCTCAACGAATTTCTGTGTGAAACCTTTGGCTACCAGCCTGGCTTTAAATCTTTCAATTGAACCATCTGGTCTCAATTTCCTCTTGAAAATCCATTTACAGCCTATGGGTTTACAACCCTAGGGCAAATCCACGATTTCCCACGTATGATTAGACTGTATGGAGTCTAACTCACTTTTGACTGCTTCTCTCCATAGAGTGGCGTCTACAGATCGCATGGCTTCTTGGATGGATTTTGGTTCTTCTTCTAACACAAGTTGACATATAAAACGATCACACAGTTCATTTGGATCTTTCAATTCAGTCATATATGTTATGAAGTCAGAGCCAAAGTTTTTCTCAGTTCTGGGCCTTTTACTTCTTCTAGGCTCTTCTGAATTACATGAGAAATCAGGAAAAGATAGATTATGTTGAACTTTATTCGTATCTAGTTCAAGAGCACCCTTCAAGGGAAACACATGTTCAAAGAAAACTGCATCTCTAGATTCACATATTGTACGGTTTTCTAAACACATAAACCTGTAAGCTGCGCTATTTTCAGCATATCCAATAAAAACGGCATCTAAGGTTTTAGGTCCCAAGTTGGGCCTTTTAAAGGACGGAAGTCCCACCTTTGCCAAGCAACCCCATACTTTAAAGTATTTAAGATTTGGCGCATGCCCTTTCCACGTTCATAAGGGGTTTTTTCAAACCCTTTGTGTAAGACTCGTTTTAGAATGTGGTTAGCTGTTAGAATAGCTTCTCCCCACAATGAATCAGAGGCACCTGAACTGATTAGCATGGCGTTCATCATCTCTTTGAGGGTTCTATTCTTTCTTTCCGCTATGCTGTTTTGTTGGGGTGTGTAGGGTGCAGTTACTTCGTGTACAATGCCAGAAGATTCACACAGATCTTTCAAAAAGGTTGATTCATATTCTCCTCCTCTATCGGATCTAAGCCTTTTGATCTTTTTTTCCAACTGATTTTCTACTTCATTTTTAAAAGCAACAAATTTTTGTTGGGCTTCACTTTTTGTTCTCAACAAATATAATTTTGTATAACGAGAAAAGTCATCGATAAAAGTTATATAGTATCGCTTACCACCTCGACTTTCAGTGGTTTTAAAATCTGCTAAATCAGTGTGAACCAATTCTAACAGTGATGAAGAATGATGCTTTACAGTTAAAAAGGATGTTCTAGCAAATTTTTCCTCAGCGCATGTTTCACATTGTTCACATGTATCATTAGACAGGTTTGGTAGCATATTCACATTTTTCAGTCTATTTAAACATTTTGCACCAACATGTCCTAATCTAGCATGCCAAACATTAACTGATACAGCAGTATAAGCAAAGGAAGCATTCTTATTATCACGAGCATTCAGAGAAGAGCTAGATAC